TCCCTGCTATTACTGTTGCTTGCAGAATATCAGCCTCAGGATATTAGTGTCATCATTTTGAAAAGTAAGAGATCACATCACTTCTTCCTCAGGATCCTTCAGTGGCTTCCCACGTAACTCAGAGTACAACTTCAGGTCCTTAAAATGAGCTAGTTTTGTGGTCCTGCTGTCCTTCCTTCACGCAGGATCTTTCTCTAAACTCAGATTTTACTATTGTGTCCACTACTCACTCCACGCAGGCCTCTTTGCTCTTCCTTAAATAGATATTTTGCACTTGCTGTTCCCCTGGCCTGGAATGCTCTTCTCCAGATATCCATATGACTCACTTCCTTATCTCCTTTAGGTGCTTGCTCAAATATCACTTCATCTGTAAGGTGTTTGATCACCTAACAAAAACTTGAAATCTCCTCCCTCTCCCATACTTATTTCCGTTTCCTGCTTTTTCTTTCTTTATAGCCCTTATCATCATTTAGCACTGTGTATTTTACTTATTTATTTTGTATTTTGTTTCCATTTTCTACAATATAATCTCCATGAGGGCAGGAATTTTTCTTTGCTTTGTTGTGTAGGAAAATGCACGGCACATAGTGCAGTAGCCTCTTGGCAAATATTTGTTGAATGAATTAATAAATAAGAAAAAATAATTTATTTGCTCATGTAACTGTTGAGTCTGAAACACTGAAAGGATTGAAACTACCTTGCAGAGGAAGAGAGATTACTCATTAAGCAAATCTCCAGAGGAGAGGGGAAAATGTCTTTAGGTTTTACCTTAGAATATAAGTAAATATAAGTAAAAAATATAAAACAACATAAGAAATATAAGTTAAAAACATATATATATAAGTAAATGTCTTCCAGGGAAAGGAAGGAGAGGGCTTTATTTCTCCGAAGCTCATTGCAGGCCTCTATATTTAGGGAAATGCTATCTCTAGCTTCCAAGGCTGTCTGTTCTGTAAGTATCCTTGTAGTACCTCTTGCTCACAAGGCTCTGACTGTGCAGGCACGTGAGAAATCCAGAGAGAATTGTTGTTCTGTAGCAATTCTAAATTCCAGCAGCTACATCTGTTCACACCTGAATTCAGATGTGATTAGATCTAGGGATAAAATGTTTTCAGAATTTTCTTTGTTTCTCTTTTCATCTCGTGGCTATTCTTTTCTCTGGGTTGGCTCATTATCAAGTAGGTACTTATGTTCTTTCAGTTTAGCCACCTCAGCTGAAAGAAAATTTTCCTTTCTAATTAGTTCCTGCAAATATTTTGAAATTGAGTCTCGTAGGTCACATGGGTCCAATGGGTCACATACCCATTCCTGAACTACTGCTTGGGGGAAGGAATATGCTGATTTTCTGGACCTGGGTCATGCACCTATTCTAGGAACTTGGTGCTTATTCCAGGAACTTGAGAGTGGGAATGACTAGTGCCACTCAAACTACATGGATTGAGAATAAAAGGAGAGTAGTTCAACAGAAGAGATTTGAGATGCTACTACTGAAAAAAGGGGAGTAAAAAACAACACAGGGGTATCTCTTACATGCACATGCAACTTATACATTGCATTTGTTCAAATTCTCCCAAGTAACCAAAGCCCAAATCCTAGTCTTTGAATCAAACCATTGCCTGGTCTCTAAACAACTTTTCCCTCACCCTAACCCAGTGGTTCTCCAACAGGGGGCAATTTTTACCTCAGAGGACATTTGGCAATGTCTTTATACTATGCATAAATTTAAAGAAATGTCTGGAGACATTAAAAAAAACCTTAGAATCTTATTGTTTATAGGCATTCCTGCCTCATCTGTTTTTCACCTAACATCACGAGCAAGAAATTTTCTTTGAAAAATGATTTTAAATGGATGTAAAATTATATTTAAATTCATTGCTTAATTTTAGATATTTGGTTTATCAGAATTAGATTTTGGTTTATCAGAATTTGGGCATTACTTAGTAGAGAAGTAGGAGGAGTAGAAGTGGGAAAGAGAAGTAGGGTCAGGGCAAGGGGGAGGCAAGAGAGATGCCTAGGACACAAAATTTAAGACAGTACTCACTTTTAGGGTCATGCAACTGCAGGGTGAACGTCTCTGTAAATTTTGGACCCCAGGCAACTTTCTTGCCTCACCCTAGTCCTAGTTGTGAAGAGGAGCACATTTAGGGAATAGCAACTATATTTGTCCATGAGTGTGAGTTAGAGATGGTAGCATGTGTAGCTGGAGAAGTTGGTGGGGAAGATTAAGGTGCTCTAGAAAGTAGTTATTATACATCTTCAACTTATCTATAGAAACCTTTGCTGAGTTCTGATAAGGATGATACTAGTTTTGAAGTAATACAAGGAATATAATTTTTATTCATAGGTTTATAGTAGTTTGAACAAAGATATGTTCCATTTAGAAATGCCAGCAAGGAAGTTGTTACCTCTTTTTAACCCAAACTATTTCAGTATCAAGTGGAAAAATACTATATTAAAAAAATTTTTTTTATTGATGTTGTAATAGTTTATAACATTGTGAAATTTTGGGTTGTACATTTTTGTTTTTCCATCACCGTATATATGTCTCCCTTTACCCCTTGTGCCCACCCTCTACCCCCATTTCCCCTGGTAACCACAATACAGTTTTCTCTGTCCATGTGTTGGTTTATATTCCACATATGAGTGAGATCATACAGTGTTTGTCTTTCTCTTTCTGGCTTATTTCACTTAACATAATACTCTCCAGGCCCATCCATGTTGTTGCAAATGGGACGATTTTGTCTTTTTTTTATGGCTGAGTAGTATTCCATTGTATATATATACCACATCTTCTTGATCCAGTCATCAGTCGAGGGACACTTAGGTTGCTTCCACCTCTTGGCTATAGTAAATAATGCTGCAGTGAACATAGGGGTGCATAAGTCTCTTTGGATTGTTGATTTCAGGTTCGTTGGCTAGATTCCCAGTAGTGGGATAGCTGGATCATAGGGTATCTCTATTTTTAATTCTTTGAGGAATCTCCATACCGTTTTCCATAGAGGCTGCACCAGTTTGCATTCCCACCAGCTGTGTATGAGGGTTCCTGTTTCTCCACATCCTCTCCAACAAAAAATAGTATTTTTTTAATTGAAAAATAAAAAGTATAGAAAAGACTTGAGTTGGAGAGTGATAGATAAATAACACATGGGTCCTTTGACTAGCTTCCTTGAGCAAGACACTTGATACTGCTCAGTGTTGGGCATGGAATCCCAATTGAATAGTTGTTTTTCTTGTTCTTAGGCCTTTGAAAATAACTTTCTATATCGCAGTGAGAGACCAGAATATGGAATTTTAGATAACTCTCAACTCTCTTTGATGATAGACAGAGGATAAAAAAATTTCAAATTAAATTAATTGTTCAGTAATTCTGAGGTCTGTCTTTGGAGTAGAATTAGCATATATAATGTGTACATTTAGGTACATACTCACTACATTTTGTTCCTTGGAAATCTTTATAAGTAATGCTGTTTACTGTACTATATCTTGGGGGTTTAATTGAAGATACTCTATTGAAAGCAGTATAAAAGAGAAGTTATGATTAAAATTTTCATATTTAATTATCACTTTGTCATGAATTTTATCATTTAATATAATGACTCTTCTCAAAGCCTTTCTTTACACCAAAGTATACAAATCAGAGAAAGCTGTAATTCACCTTGGAATTTCATTCATTCAGTAATCACTTGTTTGGTGGCTACAGTGTTCCAGGTATTGTGTAGGCTGCTGGCTATATTAAGATAATAATCCCTATCCTCAATCATGTCACAGTTTAGTGGAAGAAGAGGGATGTAATAACACTTTCATTATATATGGATTTGATTTCCAACTAATTGTAGCTTTGAGAACCTTGCCAAATGTAGAAGAGAATAAAATGCTTGTCTGGGGGCAAAAAAGGAACCCTTTGCCCCCAAGGTTAGAAGAGTGGGACACTCAGAAGGTATTCCTGACCCACTATGTTTGGTCAGTTTCCGGACCAGAAGGAAAGGAGTAATCTTACTGGTAACATCTATGAAATGTCCTCTGATTCATGTGAAAGTCAAGGAAGTAAGGGGAAATGACAGGAAACAGAACAGGCAAACAAAAAAGAGGAGCTAGAAAGAAGGCAAGAGCTGATTATAAACCCAGAAATTGGGATTGGAAATACGAGGGCATAAGGCAAAAAATGAGAAACTGTGACAGGGCTGTAAACTGATATATTGACAGCAGTGATAAAGAAGAGAGCCAGTGACCAAGAAACATCTTAGAAATTCTCCGAGTTTCAGGGATTGAGAGAACAGCTGATGCAAGAGTCATGCTTTGCAGGCTAGATAAAGTGTGTGTTTGCCGCGAGAATCCTTCCCAAACCTTCCCCACCTTTGACCAAGTTTTTCTTACATAGTTACTTACTTCTTTAGGCTGTAATAATATTTTACATGTGTAGTCACTTGCTTCTGATGTGCTTCAAGCTTAAAATAGTTTTATGCTGTGAAAAAGGAGAAAAACATGAATTACCTCTTCAAAACTGAGGGAATAGGTTAGGGGAGAAGGTAAAATACTCATTGAGAGAGTTGTAGAAAGAAAGGGGAGAGAGTAAGCAGGGGATAAGCAAGTTAGGTAAGGGGCTGACCCGATGGCATAGTGGTTAAATTTGCGTGCTCTGCTTCGGAGGCCTAGGGTTCACAGGTTCGGATCCTGGGTGTGGACCTATGCACTACTTATCAAGCCATGCTGTGGCAGGCGTCCCACATATAAAGTAGAGGAAGATGGGCACAGATGTTAGCCCAGGGCCAATCTTCCTCAGCAAAAAGAGGGGGATTGGCAACAGATGTTAGCTCAGGACTAATCTTCCTCACTAAAAAAAAAAAAAAAAAGGTAAGTATATAGCAGTTGTATTCTTAAGGTGGTGAATGCGATAAGCTGCTGCAGTTGATTTCCAGTAGTAGCCTACTATCCTCCCTGTGTCCATTTTTACCTTTTTCTCTGTAATGAACAGTTCTGACTCCTTGAATTTCTTCTTGCAGCTCATGTTTCTGGCTAGACCTATGATCATTCCCATGAGACTTCACTTCACCGTTTTCTCAAGTGTCTTCCTCATCCCTAATGTGTAATCCTTCTACATGGACCTGCTACTTTAGCTAAGATATGACCAGCAATGAATAGTAGTAAGGTAGGATTAATTTACTCTTCTTAGTAAATTACTTAAAAAAATGTATTTTTGTCCTCGAAACTGTGAAATAGTTTTGACTTGTCTTGATTTTGTACTGTTTATGTTATTCTCCTTCCTAGGCAGGCTGCAATCATTTTATATTTGTATTATTTATTTTTTGCTCATTTATCCTACTGAATTCTATCTCACTTTTGATGTAATTATTATTTTTTTCAACTAACAGTTACAATCTGCAGAATCCTAATCCATATCTCTTTTCCAACCTGTGTACCCACTGGTCCTATATTTTCAACCAACTGGCACCAAACTGAATATATCTTATTTTTCTTCTCAAATGCTTGCTCCTCCTTCTGGCTTGTGTATTTCTGTTAATAGCATTATTAGTCCCTTGTCTAATATAGTCATATATTCATTTACTATTTCCTTCATTTACTTGGTGCACATTGATAGGCTTCTATTAAGTATCAGACAGTTTGCTGCTTCTGGGGATATAATGATGAATAAGCTGGATATCCCATCCTTATAGCTTATATTCTTGAAGGGAGGGACAGCTTAAAAAAATGACAAAATAATTATGAATTGTAATACATTTTTTGAAGGAAAGCAAAAAAGCAGATAATTTGGAGATAAGGATGCAGGAGCTACTTTAGGTAGGGTGGTCACAAAGGGCTCTTTTTTGATATTTAAGATGAAGCCTGTGTATGAGAAGGAGCTATTTTAAGAGTGGAGTGTGTGTGTGTGTGGGGGGGTGTGTGTGTGGTGTTTTTGGTGGGGAAAGCATTCTCATTAGAAGGAATAGTGGTATGAAAGAAGTCAGGCAGGGAAGACAGATACTGTATGTTCTCACTTAAATGTAGAATCTTAAAAAGCTGAACTCATAGAAATAGAGAGTAGAACGGTGGTTGCCGGGGGCTGGGGAGTGGGGGAAATGGGAGATGTTGGTCAAAGGGTACAAACTTCAGCTATAAGACGATTAAGTTCTGGGGATCTAATGCACAGCATGGTAACTATAACAATACTGTATTATATACTTGAAAGTTGTTAAGAGAGTAGATCTTAAATCTGCCACACACACACACACACACACATGCACACACGCACACACGCACACAAGGGGAATTTTGTGAAGGAATGGAGAGGTTAACTAGCCTTATTGCGGTAGTCATTTTGCAGTGTATACGTGTATCTAATTATCACCTTAAACTTATGTTATATGTCAATAACATATCAATAAAGCTGCCAGAAAAAAAGGGAATAGTGGGTACAAAGACTTTGAAGGAGGAAAGAGCTTGGTGAGTTTGAGGAACAGAAAAACCCCAACGTGGCTGACGTAGTGAGAGAGGCAGAGATGGGTAGGAAGAAGTTATAGAAATATGCAGAGCTTTGAAGGGTTTGGCAAGAAGTTTGTATTTTATTCTAAATGATATCGTCATTTTAGCTACTGTGTGAGGAATGGACTGGCTGAGGTGAAAGTGAAAGCTGGCAGTTTCAGGAGCTGAGGTGAGAGATAGTGGTGGCCTGATAAGGTGCTAGCAAGAAGAGATGGATGGATTTGAGATGCATTTTTTTAAACTCAGAATTTATGGGACTTGTGGATAGTTTGAGTGTGGAAAGAGAGAACGTACTCAAGGATGACTTCAAGATTTTGGGTTTTTGAGCAACTGGGTGGATGCTGGCATCATGTGCAGAAACTTTTTAGACAACTATCTTCCCCATTAAGTCAAGGATTGGTTATTTTGCCAATAGGGAAATTAATTATAATGCTAGAAATAATGTTAATGCTGGAAATAAAAACATCTGGCAAATTTGTAATGTGTACTAGTTAATATTTTTGGCTTTTCTCCCTGAAATTTTACTATATCCTTTTAATTAATTATGAATTTAATTTTATTTAACTTCAGAATCTTTTTGGAAGTGAAAATAATTGGCTATACTTTTATACTGAATTTTAAGGCTTCTACCCTATGCCCTCTTTTTAAAAGAGATGTCTTAAAATTTTAAACCAGTCTGAAATCTTCCTAGACTGTTACCCAAAGTTCTGATATAATTTTATTGTTATTTTATTTTGCAGATTCAGGAGCCATCCTGCCATTAGATGTATATCATCCTAAGCTCGCTTGCAAGCATTCAGCTTGTTTAACCTCTTAGGAGGTTCATTTATTATTTTTTTGTCTTTGTGGCTTCATCAGAGCATGTTTAGCCTCTTAGAATTGATATTTTAGGCACAAACTGAAATTGAATGGATATTAAAATAAATCTTTCCAATTCTGTGTTACTTATTTCTCCTAAGTTAATTGTTAGTCCTATCTTTCGTTTTTTTGCTGAAGAATTTTTAAGATGTTTTCTAAAAAGAGAGGAGTTAATATTTATTGTTTGTGTTCTGCGTGACAGGCATTTGGCTAGCTGTTGTAAACACTTTAATTTTATCCTTACAACAGTCCAATGACTTTTTCCACTTTGCATATTGTTATCTTTTGAGTTTTAGAACTGAATCAGAAGTAGTAGAATAATGGGATTTTATAGCTGGAAGGGATCTTAGAGATCATCCACTTCCTCCTCCTTCAGGTGAGGCCCAGAGAGGTTCTGTGACGTGCCCAAGATCACGCAGCTGGTTTTCATGTTTGCTGAGACTAGTGCTGCTTTTACTCCTTATGTTTAGTCAAGCTGGCCTCCTCTTGTGCTTCCTGTCTTTCCACGCCTTCACCATGTCACTTTGAAAATGTTCAGTGCTACAAAAAAATTGAAAATACTGGGCAATGAACACCCATATTACCTTTCATCTATATTGACTCACTGTTAACATTTTGTCTCTCTTTTTATATTTATATATTTTTAAAACCATTCAAAACTATATTAAAGAGATCATGATAATATAAATTTTTTTGTATGCATATCCAAAGAATATGGATAATTTCCTTCATGATCATAATATCAATATCACATATAAGAAAATTAACATTAAGAATATATTTAATATAATTATCCACATTCAGATCTCCCCAGTTGTCCCTAAAAATTTTTTTTCGAGTTTTTTGGATCCAGGATTCATGTATTGCATTTGATTCTTATGTCTCTTTAATCTCTTTTAATCTTGAACAGTCCCTCTTTTTGTTTTTCATGATCTATATTTTCTTTTAAGAGATATAGATTTTGTATAGTTAATGTCTCTCTTGGGAATTGCCTGATTTCTTAGTACACTATTCATTCAAAACTCATTTACAATTTGCTTTTTCATTCCAGTTCTCTGAGGTTGCTGGAGATAAAATTGTTTATTCCAAGCTTTTTTAAAAAACATCATTCCTACTGTAAATATACATTGGCTGAAGTTTTTACATTTGGTTGCATTAAGTTAAAGTTAAGAAAACTAGGAGATTTATGTTATATTTGATCCACTGGCACTAGCCAGCAATTGAAATTCATTTTAAACAACAGAAGTCTGCAGAAGTTCTTCCTCCACCCATGATTTACCCACTGCTACCTTCTAACCAGTTGGTTATACCTAGGAATATATATCTAGTCTCTGTGGGCATTATAAAGCAGTAGCAGTCAAAGTCTTCGTCTTTGAAAAATGCACAGTTTCAAGTGGGAAGTAGATTAAAATGCAAGTGATAAATAAGCAAGTTAATAGAGACAAAGCAGAGCCAGGCACAATGAGAAAAGATTTAAGTACCTGTTCTCTCTGGTACTTATGTAGAGCTGGCATTCAGTGAGTGTTCTCTTCCTTCCTTCCTTGCTTGCTTTTAAGTTTCACAGATTTGGTTGTTTTTTTTTAAGAATTATATGACATTTAGGAACAAGCGGAATTTTTGGCGGAAGGAGTAGGAGGCAACTTTTAAGAAGTATTTTCAAAGCAGGGACAGTCATATTTTGGTTGAGTGGAAAGAAGAAAGTTTCAGTGAGGAAGGGACTACTCTAGATGGGTTACTGGGGTCTGTGAAGCCTTTTCCTTCCTTTTGCTCCAGCCAGGCTTAGATTATACTTCTGTGCTTTAGTACACTTTGCCCAGGGATTCCTTATAGCAATTATTGTTACATATTAGAACTGCTTCTCCTCTAATAAGTTCCCTGAGGCTGTGAGGAGAACTTTTTATCTCTGTATACACAGGACCTCACTCAGTGCCTGGCGTATTGCAGACAGTTTATAAGTACTTATTTGATGAATGAATGAATGAATGAATGAATGAATGAAAGGCTTTATTAAGACATAGAGCAAAAAGACAAAGATTCCTTTGCTGTGTAACGACAGTAATGGTAGGACCTGCAGTTAGACCAATTAATTATTGAGATGCTCAATTAGACCTAGAATTGGTTCAGGAGCACTGGATATGGAACAGGGATGAAATTGTTCAGTGGAAACCAGAAGCATTCTAGGAGTGGGAATACATTTGGGAGATTTTTCAGAGAAGTAACTATCATGACATAAGTAAGTACCTTTGTCATTTTCTAAAGAAAAATAATTCAATTATATTAGAAGGAGAAATAATTTTTAATGTTAAGCATTCCGTAGGTGAAATTTGATTTTTACCTCATAATCCTCAGTCTTAAAAAAACTTGTTGGGGAGTCTTTTCTTTATATGTATTTTTTACATTATAAAACAAATACCCGCCTTTTGTAAAAATATAAACTAGAGATACATAAAGTAAAAAGTGACATTCTTCCTACTATTGCAAGTCTCATTCTTAAGAGAGAGCCAATGTTAAAAGTTTGTTATATATCAATTTGGACTTTTAAAATACATATACTCAAAAACGCACTTGCTTATGTTTGTATAGTTTGTAAGATAGGATCATTTGATATATATGTTCTGAAATTTACTTTTCCTACTTATCCTTTGATTTCTGCTTATGCTCCATGTATTTCTAAACTTTGTTGCAATTAGAAGAGGACAGAATCACTGGCAAAGAATAATAGTAAAAAAAAACCAGAGTAAATGAATGTATGAGGAAGACAAAATTTTAAGTCTAAGAAAAATACCTGCTAGTTTTTATTAGTGTAATTGC